GGGTGTATTATATATGAAGTAATGGCTATTATGGAGAAAAATATCTCCGTCTCTTATGCTCGCTCGTGTTTCCTGTGTTTTTCTCTCTCTCTTTGGTCTCTGACTCATGAATTCTAGCTTTGCCTGTCTGTCTGTACTTACGCAAGTTTTTACACACACACACACACACACACACACACACACACACAGAAACACACACACACACACACACACACACACACACACACACACACACACACACACACACACACACACACAACACACACACACACACACACACACACACACACACACACACACACACAGACACACAACAGAACACACACACACACACACTACACACACACACACACACACACCACACACACACACACCACACACACAGACAGAACACACACACACACAGCACACAGAAACACACATACACGCTGCAGACTGAAATTCTGTTTCTTAATTCTTTACGTACGAACCAGATACAATTTATGTATCTGACAAACAGCGAATGTAAAAGAAGGCAGACCCAAAACGGAGAACTTACGTAAGTTCAGAGAGAGAGAGAGAGAGAGAGAGAGAGAGAGAGAGAGAAGAGAGAGAGAGAGAGAGAGAGAGAGAGAGAGAGAGAGAGAGAGAGAGAGAGAGAGAGAGAGAAGAGAGAGAGAGAGAGGAGAGAGAGAGAGAGAGAGAGAGAGAGAGAGAGAGAGAGAGAGAAGGAGAGAGAGAGAGAGAGAGAGAGAGAGAGGGAGGGAAGGAGAGAGCGAGATAGAGATAGAGATAGATATAGATAGATAGATAGATAGATAGGTAGATAGATAGATAGATCGACAGAGAGAGAGAACTTACGTAAGTTTAGAGAGAGAGAGAGAGAGAGAGAGAGAGAGAGAGAGAGAGAGAAGAGAGAGAGAGAGAGAGAGAGAGAGAGAGAGAGAGAGAGAGAGAGAGAGAGAGAGAGAGAGAGGAAGGGAGGGAAGGAGAGAGCGAGAGAGATAGAGATAGAGATAGATAGGTAGGCAGATAGATAGATAGATAGATAGATAGATAAAAAGATAGATAGAGAGAGAGCAAGAAAGAAATAAAAGAAAAAAAAGGAAGAAAACGAAAGAAAGAAAGAAAAAGAAAGAAAAGAAGCGAAAGAAAGAAATACAGAAAGAAACGAAAATCCTGCAAACGAACAAGCAGACAAAGAAAAAAGAGACAAAGCAAACAAAGAAACAAACCGACAAACAAAGAAAGGATGAGACTAAAAAAAAAAGTTTACGAGAGGATGAGCGCGCATCCTCAACAATATCGGATGTAGTGTTTAGAAATTCGTTCTTTGATTACAATTGTGCGATTATACATCCTGTTGGTGAATTCCCTAAAAGCCTAACCTTTATTTCTAACGTTTTTTATTCGTATTTTTAGTTTTTTTCGGTAAATCCCGTGCATATAGAAAATGGGTTTAGAAATGTATATTTTCATGGGGGGACTTAAGAATTTTGGATGTTTGGGAGACTAAGATGGAATGTTATCTTGTATTTTTGTTATTCTTTACGATATTTAATGATTCGTTTGTAAACTGAACACAAAATAAAACTTAGGAGTTATTGTTAGCAGTCATATACATATGCCTAGTGTGATATTGTACAAACTAACATTTGATAGGTAGATAAGCTTGGCAGCATTATTAATAAAAATTCTCATTATCAACTGTTCTTTTTAGTATCTTTATCATTATGAATATTTTTATATCAGGGCTCCTTTTCCTAATCATCATATATCAGCCATATTTTGTATACATCGAAACAAATAAACATTTAAAATAGTTTTTTCTTGTTTGAACTACCTTTAAAATCCATAAACTCGGAAATAAACGAATGAAAGCACGCACACACACAAACACACACACGCAAACGCACACACACACAAACAAAACACGCAACGCACACAAAAAACACAACACGCACAAACAAACACGCAAAACACACACACACACACGGATTCTCTCTCTCTCTCTCTGCCGGCCCCTCCTCTTTCTCTTTTTAGCCGACCCCCTCTTTCTTTTTCCCTCTCTATCCCTCTCCTTCTCTCTCTCTCTTCTCTTCTCTCCTTCTTTTCTCTCCCTATCTCTCTCAAGCCCCCTCCCCCTTTTCTCCCTCTCTCTACCCTCTCCTCTCTCTCTCTCGTAAACATACTCCTCTTAGCGGCTTGTTTACAGCGGGTACTTGCATAATGAAAATAGACCCAGTGAGGCCTAAAAGATCAACACATTGTGTCCACACCAACAAGGCCTAATGAAGATTGATGTCCATGATGATAATATACGCTGATCCTATTACGTTTTAGTACGTATAGTGATGCTATTACTCCAACTAGTATAATTAGATACTATTACTGTTTCTCAATACTAGCAACAGGAAGACAGTAATAATAGCAATGTAAATAATTTGAACAATTGGTGCAAAATCGGTGATGATGTTAACTGTGATACTATGACTAGTAGTTATGGTAGTAATAGGGATAA